AGGATCATGGATCGAAAAGCGGATATTTTGCACGTGATCCGATCCGTGATCCGGTCTGTGATCTGATCTGATCTGATGTGATCTGATGGTTCGATCCTGGGTTTTTTCGACGCCGCGTAAAAAGTTTAGCAAGAACAGGAGTGCTTTTTGGAAATAAACTTCGGTTTCAATTTCCTAAGGAAGAGCATTTCAAAAAACAAACAAACTTTGATTTTTCAACACTTACAGGGTAGTTAAATGATTTCTGTGAATAAATTACAAGAAATTTTTTCAAACGTGCTTCGAATTGTATTGATGTGTATTTTTAGAGACAGACTTGTCTCAGGAGCACAAGTTGATTGTATAGTATCAAAAAACATGGCGAGAAAGGAATTGATTGCTTGGGCTCAGACACCAAATTAAATGCAAGCATTTAATGTCCACGGTCAGCTCTTCCTGTGATTTTTTTTCTTTTAAAGTGCCTTTGAGTATTCACCATTTTGGTTTAATTTTTTTTTTTAACTAGATTTTGAAATTTATGATAGTTAGTAGCCTGGCGTGAGGAATTCGTTCGAACAATACTTTGACAAAATAACTGCCCTAACTAAGCAGGCAACACCTCTTGATTAATTAGAGGCACCCGATGGAATTTTTAGCACTTGAAAATAAAAAAAAAATAAAAAATACAATAATTACGTTGGAGTTCGTGGAGGCAGACATCATTTTGAAAAGAGAAGCACGAAAAAATATCGTATTATTGACAGAACCAATGCAGGGAGTGCGTTGATTGGTTATAAGACTTGTTCTACAGAATTGAACCAATCAGTTAGAATCCAATTTGAAAGACAATGCAACAGGGGTATAAAACACAGGAAAATTATTCTAAGTTCCGCTAAATTTTGAATATACGTTCTTCTGAAAATTAAGAGCACGTCCTTCACGAAAAATCGAGTTATTTGAATAAGATGTCCGGTCGCGGTAAAGGAGGAAAAGGTTTGGGTAAGGGAGGCGCGAAACGTCACAGAAAAATCCTAAGAGACAACATTCAGGGCATAACTAAGCCGGCCATAAGACGTTTGGCCAGGAGAGGTGGTGTGAAGCGCATTTCAGGTCTCATTTATGAAGAAACTCGCGGAGTTCTCAAAGTTTTCCTCGAAAACGTTATACGCGACGCGGTGACATACACTGAACACGCCAAGCGCAAGACGGTGACCGCCATGGACGTTGTATACGCGCTGAAACGACAAGGACGCACGTTGTACGGCTTTGGGGGCTGAAGAATGAAGAACTGACATGACAGAGAAACTGTACAGTTAGCAAGCGTGTAAAAGGAAAGACTGAAATTTTTATTTTAGCTTCCAGCAGGACTGCAAGCTCCTAATTATGTTTTACTTTTGTGTACATTATTCATTTTCTAGTTTGAAATTATTTTCTCGTTTGAAATAATGTACTGTGTAACGTCCCATTACTTCCACAAGTGATAGCTGTTTAATTTTGTTTCTTTTGTATCTGTTTACCTATTGTTGCCTATTTTTTTGTACTTGTAGCAAGACTTAATGTTGTACAAATAACGCAGAGAGAATTAAATCGCTTCTTTTGTTTGTACATTTGTTTGTAGTCCATGTTTAGTTTACCGCACCTCATTTGCATCTGTGAGGAGACGAGGGCGAGGCGAGTGTGGTGTGTAGCATGAAAACCTAAGGGAACCATGTTTAGAATATTCAAACGTATTTTAGAATAAAGCAGGTTTCACATGCGTGTCGAAAGAACAGAGCCAATTTAATCCACACGGGCGATCGGAACATTGGTTAACATCACAATTAGCGAATGAGAACCCGAAACTGTAAAAGGCTCGGAATAACCCGAGTGATGCTTTTTGCACCATTCACTCTGACGAAAAGCTAACGCTCGAAACGTCAGTTTTAAAATACATTATTAACTCAGACTCTAAAAAAAATTCAGTAGCCTGCGAGCTAATATCTCGTACTCAGATCCTACCGTTTAATTGTGACGGAAATGTAAGTTACAACCGCTTGGCCGTGAAAGGGGTGGGCACGAGACTATCTACGAGCAAACCTTCTCTACCCATGAGAAGGCCTGAAACGAATCGGGGAGAGGTCTGCCGGGTTATCTGGCACCACTTGCCGATCTCTAGCTGACTGCCCTTCGCAGGACTATAGAGAATTGGCTGCCATTGCAATTGCCATTGCCACGAGGCACCTAAGGATCATATGAATATTACAAAGACTTATGAGAGAATCAGGTAAATAAATTTTATCGTGACAACCAAAATCCTCCGACCCCCAAACCGCCCCTGTTCTGCGATACACACTGATCGGTCCGTGACCAAGCTACTTGTTTTTTTCAAAGTTTGTTTTAAAATTATAGAACATGAACGAGAAATTAAACGAGCTCCACAAACGTACAGTTACGCGTGTTAAGCGAATGGATGTAATCAAGTAAGACTCATAATTATTGTCTTTTAATTTCCCATCTCAGCACCTGCCGCAACCATCTGCCGCGATCCAAGGACTGTTTACTTCAACGTTGAATGACGGAGGGTACTATCGTTGTTATCCTCAATAAGGCTTGTGAGAAGTTGGCCTGTTGAAATATCGCAAACCATTCACTATTTATCTGAAATAGTGGCTCCTAGCGAAAATCATGAACAAGTTGTATTGTAACCAGTCTTCGCAATTTTTTCCCATATTCACTGAACTTGAAGATCTTCGTTCGACTTGTATCGCCAAC